AGCACTACTTGACCATGCAGCACCAAGCCACCATGCTGCTTCTCGCCGCGTAATTCGCGATGTTTACGAGCTGCTTGGCTGCGCAACAACAGAACTAGGGTTAACCTCGTGTTTTCTTGGGGCAGGTTTTGGTCGAGCTCTTTGGTTGAGGTTTTGCATTGGGGTAGCGTGCAATCTAGCGGAGGGATCGTGTACTACGTGTGACGTAGTTTGGACTCGTCGGTGGACCGAATCATATGCATTGAAGTTAAACGTACCCTGCCCCAAACCTCGGGTTTTCTTGGGGCTGGTGTGGTTGGTCTTTGTGGTTGAGGTCGGGCATAGGGCCGGTGGGCCATCTAGCGGTATTTCTGAGTGGCATGTGCAGTGGTTTGATTCGTGGAGAAGGTTTGTGCAGGTGCTGTCGCGCTTTTTGATTTTAGTTTGGTATCGGGGCCGCGTGCAACCTAGCGGTGTGTCTGTGTCGTAGCTTGGACAGTGTGGATGCCTTCCACCCTTACGGGCTCTTGTACTATGCACGTCCAACGCACCCTTCCTACTGCAAACACGCATTCACATGGCGAATGTGTGACGGACGCGTGCGACGGACGCGACCTACGCTTCGTTGCAGTGCCCAGCGGGCCGCTACCGAACTTCAGCCAGAAACGACACTGCGGTGCAACCTCCGCTGCGCTGCGGTGCACCTGGAGGATTCTTTGTAGGGCTCCAATGGTGTCAACGTTGAATTCATTTTCCATTGTGCGGTGAGGGTGGTGCATCGTCCCAATCTCGCTTAGATGTGGGTTGTTATTGTTACCGGGAAGAGCTATTTCTTAGCCACTTCAACCTTCGCATCATTTCGGCACTCGGGTCCAATACTGCACAGCAGACGCTTCATGCATAGATGCCACAGTAGCTTGATCAACATTGTAGGATGTATAACGTTCATGAGGTGGTTTAAAGGATCGCTTCTCGGATTTGCAGGCCCAGCAATTCTACTGTGACGGGCGCGGCCGCTCGACGCGCGCGCTTCGCCTGGAGGTGCAGTGGTGGTCACGGTCGACGCCTTGGTTCGCTGCCGTCGCCTCTGCCTCGCGGTGATCTTCCGCTTGAGCTCCTTGGCCTCCTCGATCGGAGTCGATGTCGCCAGGGCGTATGAAGCTTGGCGATTCCGCTGATCGCACTTGCGCTCAGCCAGACACTGACAGCCCCACCATGACCGGTCTTCTGCTCTGCGCGTGGCGCGCGAATTGCAATTGAAACCTCCTGTACCTTCTTGGCAACAGCTTCTACTTTGCACTTCTTGGGCTCATGGCCTGGCGCCTCACCCCGATCCAA